CGTTTACTTCATAACGTTTCTGCGAGACAACAGCGCCATCATCAGATTTAAAATTCATACAAACTCATAATTGGTAAACGTTACATTCTTTTAGGTATTTGCTGTCTTGAAACCTCAAATTTGTTTAAATTATTCTATCCCAGGAATAAATTGAGGTGAAGAGAATTTAATATTTCCCAATTATGAGTTTGTATAAATTTTAAATCTGATGATGGCGCTGTTGTCTCGCTGAAACGTTATGAAATAAACGATATAAAAAAAATTATTTTACACGTTGATTGAAGCCCGGGAAGGGAAAAATATAATAACAATTATAAATAAAATGAATAACATAACATAATAAATAACATAAAATAATTAATTTTACGATTTTTTCGGTAGCCTATATGCTAAGTAAGTACCGGGGAGAGCGCCGCCTGGCAGCGAGATATTTCAGTTTTAAGGTAGTATCGCCCTTCGCGCGGACAATAAATTATCGCTTAAACGGTGAGCAACTGATTGCGTAGTTGCTCTCAGTAGGGATGACACAAACCAATATTTTTCAGGCACAGGTTCCATGTGTGTTCCAAGCTCGTACTTGTTCCAAGCATCTGTGATTTTTTGGCTCATGATAAATATTGGTTTGTACCTGAAACCGGGCTGAAGAGCGTATTTTGAGTCCATTAGAATTTAAAGGCCTGTTTCGGGCACTAAACATCTGAAGGAAAAAGATTATTGGAAGTTGTTCGGAAGAATGTCAGAATATTGAAACAATAGTTTGTGCTCGATTTCCGGCTGTGGAACATTGTTTATAAATAATTAAAGAAAGTGCGAAAAGTTATATTCGCCTTATCACTAGAAGTGCATTTTCGCAAGGACGCAATTCAGCATCTGTATTGTACATTGAGTAGTATTGTAAAACCTTATTGTTTTCCTTGTAATTGCAAATGCAGACTAACGCCATTCTCATCCTGTGATCGCTTGAATAAAGAGTTTTTTAAAAACAAGTTCTTTCGAGACCCCATAGTAACTGAAAGCCCGTTTTTTGTGCACAACTGTTGAACCGTTGATGCTATTGAAAAAAAGTTTTATCCTTTTTTTTATAGCATTATTAATTATATTAAAATCCGTTCATTAGTGTGCTCAAAAAAACGGTAATTTCAGCGTTTTGTTAATTTTCTATAATTAATTTAGTTCTATTTCAAGAAAATCGTACCATAACTTCTTTTGGCCAGTCAGTAATGAAAGTTTCATTTATTGTACGGGGTAGTATAACTCTTTACGACTAAAACACAGCCTCAGAGAAGTCTCTCCGACGTCTCAAGAAAAATGTAGAACTTTCGCTTACAACATGGCAGCTAATACTAAAAAAAACTCGTCAACCTCTCACCTTTTCACCTCTGGCAAGAAAGCGTTGCTTGGTCACCAATGAATTGTTTGATGATATTTCCCGTTGCATGGTGACCAATGTAGTACAAACAATGAATTGTTTGATGTTATTTCCCGTCGCATGGTGACCAAATTTAAAGTGGCACAAATAAATTGTTGGATATTGTTTCCAACACTAAGGACATCCTACCAAGGATTATCCCATTTTGATCCCCGGAATAACGGGGATAAAAAGAAAAAGACAATGCCTGGAGTAAGATCGCTGCCGATTTCAACGCCTCGTCACCAAGTAAAGTCTTCCGCAGTAAAGAATCTTTGCGGAAGTGCTACAAAAAAAGAAGTCCGAATGATTGTGACCCAAGAAAAAAAATCGTTAATACAGACCGGCGGTGGTGCAACAAACAACAACACCTTCCCAGGACCCTTGTAATGAAATTATTAAGAACGTCAGCAATGAAAGCGGCAGACCGTAAAAGAGAGCGAGAAGAAGTAGAGCATGCTCTAAAAGTAAAATGCTTACAATTAGACATTGCTCTTAAGGAAGCCGAATAAAAAATAAATCCGAATAAAAGAAAAAAATAGTGTAACGGAAATGGCCTGGGGTACCCACGTTTGGAATGGGGGGGATCGAAATTCATGGTGTTTCATGATAATTTCATAATATGACACTGACAAGCGGGAAGTTTCGCACCTGGGCTGGAGAAGTGACAAGAGCGACCGAGTGCAGAAGAGGTTAAACCCGGCGAGTCTAAAGAGCGAGTTTTCCGTGTGTTTTTATTATTGTTTGTGAAGTTGACGGTAATTTTGAAGTTAGTTTGTTTCTGTTCCGCATTTAAAGTGGTAAGGTGAATAAAAGTTGGAAGATGAAGAAAGAGTTTGATACCCGGCCATCCACGGTACAATAGAATTGGTGTTTTTATATAAATATATTAATTGTACCATTACAGTCTCTTTGGTTAGTCGAAACTTTGCAGCAGTGTAACTATGCAGCACGTGTTGATCGCTTCAAAGCAAGTCAGAGACTATTCTCTTATAGAGTACATACTATTTGAACAAATTTATTTTCAGCTAAGTTTACAAACTTCCTACTGCTACTTATCAACGAGTACTTAAATCTAACATCGTTAGAGTGTCTAACACTATGTAACTTAAGATATGTCATCGTATAACTTAATCTAAATTAACCTAACAAACCTAATCTAAACCTAACAGCCTCTCTTGCTTCCTATAACTAACTTAGAGTTAGCTCATGGTTCTCGATGTGGTGCAGGAACTGGTCATCGCATGTGGTCCACGTCTTCTTCTTGGACTGTGTCCGCAGGAAGACTGTGTCCCCGATCACAGGGAAACTTCTTTTTGCAAGGAACCCGGACTGTGGGATTCTTGCTTTGCCGGGCATTATCCAGGAACTTTGATGTTAAGTTCTGGATATGGTCCAGCAGGTCATCTGTTTTGAGGTCTCTTTGCAGGGTGGAATTTCTGACATCCTTGACAGGCCTTGGCTGCTATCCTCAGTATCCGATTCTGGATTACTGCCAGCTTGTGTTTCTGGCAGGTGCTGGCCGTGGACCATGCAGGAGATCCGTAGG